TGAATATATAAAAAGAAAACGTTAAACACAAGCAGGTCAAATAGAAGAGACAATGATTTTAGTGTCTGCGTAAAATTAAATTAGCAAATTTAATATATAATAAACATATTAAGGAGAAGAAAGCATTACATTGTTGCTTTGAAGTTTCAGATGAAAATAAAACATAAAAATATAGGAGAAACAATGTCCTGTTAGTCAGCCTAATATATATATATATATATATATATATATATATATATATATATATATATATATATATATATATATATATATATATATACACACACACACACACACACACACATATGTACATATATACACACAATATAATTATTCTAACCTATACCAATTCAAATATATTAATGTGTAAGTGATCATACACATTATCAAAAGACTAGTTAACTCAAAATTGACTGAAAGTTAATTCTACTCATTTGAAAAGAGTTTTTAACAATAAGTTAATTAAATACTTCATTACTTCAACTTAAATGGAGTAAATTCACAGTTCTCGATTTTTTTAACTCAAATGGTTTGTTGCAATCTGTTTCCTCAGACGGTTTGAGTTGCCTTAACTTATAGGGTTTTACAGTAGTCAGTTGGTTTGAGTTATCTTCATTTATTGGGTTTTACTGTGCTCACATTGCTTCATTTACTCAAATGGATTAAGTTTACAGTACTCATTAGGATTAGTTTTTGAGCGTAAATGGTTTGTTGCAATTGGTTTCCTCAAATAGCTGGAGTTACCTTAACTTATTGAGGTTTTACAGTGTATTAAATGTTATATTTGTATTGATTAAGAACTTAAAAATGTATTGCAGACAAATGGGTAAACCTAGAAGTTTGACAGATAACAGCAAAGGGAATTACAATCAAACTATAAGTCTAATTTAAAGTAATAAATACAAAGTATAGTTTAAAATAATAACATAATATAAAAAATTATATAATTAATAAAAAAAGTTGTACTGTTATTACACGGTTACATTTAGTGGGTGTGTTATGTAAATACTGTTAAAAAATGTATGATTGTATTTTTTTATTTACAAAAGTATTATTATTATTATAAAAAAACACAGTATTATTATAAAAAAGCTATATTGTTTTAATGTTTGAAAAATAAGCTTATATTTGCTATATTCATATATACTATATGCCGCAACCCATCTCTGGGAAACACACACACAACGGGCAATTTAGCCTACCCAATTCACCTGCACAGCATGTCTTTGGACTGTAGGGGAAACCGGAGCACCCGGAGGACACCCACACGAGCACAGAGAGAACATGCAAACTCCACACAGAAACGCCAACTAAGCCGAAGTTCGAACCAGCAACCCAGCAACCTTCTTGCTGCGAGGCAACAGCATTACCAACTGCGCCACTGGGCCGCCCCATACTTACTATATATCATTAACTTTTTAAAAAAAATAATTTAAATGACATTTTTTTATTTTAATGCTATTTTACACAAGATTCATTATATATCTTGTATATATATATTAGGGCTGCACAATATATCGTTTCAGCATCGTTATGGCATATATATGTGTGATGATTTATAGAATATAATGAATTAGTATTTAATATTAGCTATTCAATTTACAGAAATGTTAAAATTGTGTTACATTTTAACAGATGGAATGTGACAAAACGAGAGAGCTGAATTTGAGGAACACACACCTGCTTTGACAAACCATGACACACTGTTATCTTTGTACACACAATCCCAGGCTCTGTCTCTTCTTCCCTTGTCATTTAGCAACTAGTAGCAACAAGCCAAAATTGCCCCAATTAGTTTCGAAAGTAATCGGGCATCTATTACGAGAAACATTTGGAGAGCGGGCTCAATGTGTGTGCTCTTTTTTGATATGAGAAAAATGTGCCTTGCCACAGAACACCTCTCCAAATATGATTCATTGTTGCCAATTATTTTGACCACCAAATAGGCACCCTGAAGGGGCAGTATTATCTCACTTTGAAATGGGAAACTGGAGGAAGCTTTTGGGATGAATACGTAGAGCTGTGACGGAGGTTACATGTCAATAGGCTTTCTTCTTTTGTGTTTCTCTCCGAGCCCTGTTAATCATTTACCTGCGGTCCTGTCATGGCCACAGTGAGCACGGTGTTCTCCTCTCCATATTCCTCCTCCTTTTTATCCCACGCACACGATATGTAGATTTCCTCTTTGCATGAGATTGAAAAATGCCTCATTTCCTAGCCTGTTGGACCAGTCGTTGACAACTTCCAACTCCTTCTGCGTTTGCCTGCTTCAGGAAAAGAGAGACGAGATAGAGAGAAAAATAGCGGAGAAGAAAAAGGAAAGAAAGCTGACTTACATTTGGTGACACTAGTTCATTCTAAGTATAAAGTGGCATGAGAATATGCTGCCTCTCAGACTTAGCACAATGTAAGGGAGTGTGAAATTAAAATGCGTATGAATGAAACGGCCAGGATTGCGCTTCGCCGGCTCCTTATCAGACAACTGGAACATCGAAAGCTCTAAAACTTGTAGCAATCCCCTTTGTAGCGAGGCCTCAGCAGACATTGTAGTACTGGAAAGCCGCTGAGACTCCAAAACCAAACACAAAGTGCGTATAAATCCTTCTTTTTGTGTGTGCCACACATGCATACGCAAGCAGGCGACGGTACTTTGAGGATGCGTGCATTTTTCACGTTATGTCGCGGCTACACCTTTAATGCACCCGCTTTACATTCTCCACACCAACGCGGCTGCTATTTTAAACCGCCATGTTAATTTGATTTAGTGCTTTTCAAATTGAATTGAGAAAAATGGAGAGCAAATGTACTGTTATTAATGTTCTAAAGTAGCGCGTAGCTGAAAGTGCCTGGCTTTGCTCTAAGTGGATGGGCCTGATAAGAGGGCCAGATATGATAGGCACGTAATCTGCATTCCTCAAACAGACTTGTGTGGGCTATTAAGGGCCATTGTGTACAATGCACCGATGATCAGATCCAATCTCTTAAACAGTTGTACTTGCTCTATGCTGAAAAGAGCACTTTCAAAGTTCTGTAGGATTGAGCACAAAGAAAATGTCTTCATCTGAACAGCGGAGATTGTCCACGGTCAGATGGAGCAAATGCTTTTGATTCATACTGATGAATCCCACCATTAACACTGGAATTGCAGAGGTGGTCATTTTGACCGTTTATTTTTTATTTTTTGCTCTAAATGTGTGTGTGTTTCATTTTTCATTCATTCATTTTCTTTTCAGCTTAGTCCCTTTAATAATCTGGGGTTGCCACAGCGGAATGCACCGCCAACTTATCCAGCATATATTTTACACAGTGGATGCCCTTCCAGCCACCACCTATCTCTGGGAAACATCCACACACACTTATTCACACTCATACATTACGGACAATTTAGCCAACCCAATTCACCTGTACCGCATGTCTTTAGACTGTGGGGGAAACGGGAGCACCCAGAGGAAACCCACTCGAACGCAGGTAGAACATGCAAACTCCACACAGAAACACCAACTGACCAAGCCTAGGCTCGAACCAGCAACCTTCTTGCTGTGAGGCGACAGCACTATACCTACTGCACCACCGTGTCACCCCATGTTTAATTTTTGATTCATTAAAATTGCACAACACATATGCATGACTCTGTTGCCTAGCAACTTTCTGCTAATATAAACATTGTGGCAGAAAAAAAAAAAAAAAACAACTTAAGAGGCCGATCAAACTGAGCACGCTTTTTGCGTTGAGACGCACCTTTTTTGAATGATTTACTAACAGGCGTGGACGTTTTGCACCCTGTGCGCCTCAAATTTTAACCACTTAGAGGTCAATCACACCAAATGCGATTTTTGTGTTGAGAAACACCTTTTGTTGAATGATTTACTGCTTATGCACCCTGCTCACCTCGCATTTTTACCGCCTGCTGCACCTCATGTGTTTGTCCTTGCGTGTTGTGCGTTTACAATTGAAAAAAAGTCAAATCTTGAATATCAATATATTATTAAATATTAAAATATACCAATATCCACAGCTACACTCGCGTACAATATACAGCTAATTAAGTCATTGCCTAGCAAGATAAAAAGCTTTTACCTAATTGTGGTGCGCCTCACGATTTTAGAATGGAGAAGCGCGTTTGGTGTGGTGGGCCCCTTGTGCCTTGCTTTTTTGCCGTTCCACGCTGTGCGCTCGCAGTTTAAAAACTTACATCAGTCGCGTCTGTTTCATTCTCCAATCAAATAAAAGCAGAGGCGGGGTTTCCATTGAGATGACTGCAGTGTTTGTGTTTTCAAGACAACTACGGAGATGTTTGATGAGAGGAGAGGTTTGTGGTTGCTGTTTTAAGTTATCCGGTGTTGCATGACTCACAAACCTTGAATATTACAATATTATTAAATATTACATTTACAACAATATCAACAGCAGCACTCTAATTCAGCTGATTCAGTCCTTGCCTAGTGACATAAAAAGTGAACCATGCTTTTTTCTTGTCAATTAAAAAAAAAAGGCAGTGTGGTGCTTCTCACATTTTTGGAATGTAAAAGTGCGTTCGGTGTGATCGGCCCCTTATGTTGCATGAGAAAAATGAGAGAGCTCAGCATAAAACACACAAAGCAAATAAAACGTGAAACGTCGGTGGACATGCAGGCTTACTTCAGTCTCTTACAAACTTTTATAAACAACATCTTCTCTGCTTTGAAAAAAACTTCTCTCCTACAAGCTGTACAAATTAAAGTACGCACATTTGAGGTGGTCTACTAACTTGTATATAATTATAGGATTAAATAATATGCATTCAAAGCTAAAATCTCAATTGAAGCCTTGAATGTAAATATGATGTGACAAAAATTCAATTCTGCACAGTTTTATTTGAACTATGGCTATGGCCTTTCTAGTCGTTTCTGGCAGACCCGGTGTTAAACCTCCATCTTGGGTTGACTGTAAACAAATGCAACATGCAATGTTGAATTATTTTGATAACAACAAGATTGTATTGCTGTTGGTTTAATTTCCAGGTCACGGAGGTCAGAGGCCATTCCAGTGTCGCTACTGCCCCTACAGCGCCTCTCAGAAAGGAAACCTGAAGACCCATGTGCTGTGCGTTCACCGCATGCCCTTTGACAACAGCCAGTATCCCGACCGGCGCTTCAAGCGCTCCCGCATAGACTCTGACATCTCCGGGAACTCAGAGGAAGGGAATCATCATCCCTCTGCAGGTCAGTCTAGCACAGCAGAATGTGTTTCTGGTGATACTCCTCGCTCTGTTGAGTGAAGGAAAATGTGATCCAGGGATTTTTAGGACCTTCAAGTGACCACATTGTGAAAGCCTTCCCAGTGCATCACTCTAAAAGACACATGAAGCTAGTCAAAATAATTCCTCTTTCCCCAAAAAGAACCATGCATTCCATAAGTTAGGGGTTCACAAACTCCCATAATCAAAGCCCTTCAGCTTCAGTAATGTTCTGTGAAGCACAGGATAAAGATGATGAAGTAGAGAAACCTGAACCCTATTTCTGATGAGTCTGAAACTAAATATGCAGCTCTTATAGGAGTTGCCTGGACTGAGCGTTGAAGAGACATTACTGAAGAGGAAAAATGACAACGTTTAAAAAAAAGACTGTCATTAAATTCCTCCGAGTGACTTTTGTCCCAAAAATAATGCTTTTATCAGAAAAACGATCCGCGCCAACGATTTCGCGACAGTTGGAAGGGAAAGAAAGATTGAGGGAAGCTGTTGAGCGCACCCTTCAAGAACATGACACCACCAGTGGCCATTTGCCCAGCGCCACTGACGCGCAGGGATGGAGCGAGCGGACGGAGGGATGTGGATGGTGAAATGGGGGGGGTTGGGGCGTTTGGTGCCAGCCTGACTGGAGCTGTCATCACAGAGGAAATCAATTCAACCCCCTCCCACGCTGCTTCTATTCACCCCCACTCTTCCCATTCCACCTCTCCTCACTCTTTCAGAACACGTCAAGAGAAACCTTAGTCGCCTGTTCAGCCGGGCCGCAGAAGGGTCAGCTTCAGACCTGCCTGACGACTAGTAGCACTTCCCATCAGCCTCCCTCATTCCCTCCTGTCCTCATCTTTCTCCTGTGAAAAATAAAATATGGAAAAAAGGTAACATTGTATAATAATCCATGGATTTTTATTTTTATTGTTGTGCAGATTTTAGAATGTATATCACTTAAAGTGATATGGCAGACACACATGAAATGTGTTTTCTTTGCATTAAGCACTTCTTAATCATAAACAAGTAATGTCGTTGTCATTGAAGAAGGTCCACTTCCCTTCTAACTGGTGGACTTTGAGTAAATACTGACCACATGTAACCAAGAGGATGAATGTGTTATTTGTGAAGTGTGAATAATACAAAGGAAGCGTAGCACTTCTGTTGGGTTTATTGACCGCAGTGGGACTTCCTTTTATACGGTAGAGCTCTTGAGAAAGCCACTGTAAATATGAAGTATATAGATAATCAGTTCTATGTTTCCTGTGTTTAATCGAAACTTCAGGCTGGCATTCGTGATTTTGTTTTGTTCGCTTATCCCCCCCTCCTAAAAAAAAACAAACTGTGCATTTCTGACCATTTTTCATTCCTTTTTTCTACTAAGTTTGAATCACACATCACCATGACCCATTTTTGTATGCATCTGTTGTCCTGAATGTTACTCTACTAGAAGAGATTAACAACACAGGCAGTTTGAATCCCATGAAACCAAGCCTCTTAAAGAACAAAATAAAGTGTATCAACTTTCATTGTACTTCCTTTTATTGAAGGCTAGCAGGGGTTAGAAGGTAAATAAGTATGGGTAGGGGGTTAGAGATGCATGGGTGGTGGTGGTGAGGGGGGGAGGGTGGATATTAATGTTTTGTGATAAACAGAAATGATCCAGACTTTAAGAAAGTCAATATCTTCCCGCTCAGCACAGGGAAGCTCAGCACTTAAACCCCGGGGCCTTACGGCTGCTCTATTCACGCCGGGAGGAGTTTAGAGGACTCACAAATACCCGCCACACTCCTCTCTAAGCAGTAAATAAAAACATAAACCCTTATCAGAGGCCTAAGACCACAACATCTCAAGAAAAAAAAAGGAGAAGAGATAAAGTGGAGTTGGAAAAAAATGATAGAAGTGGTCTAGAAGTGGCGCATGGAGATTTTACAGGTTCACAGAAAATGTAGAGGTTCCAAGCAACGGATCTTTAATTCACTATAACACTTTTTTTGTGGTCTGTTCTTTGTTGCTGAGCTTTTTCCATATTCTTTTTATTTTGTTAGTGCTCACTGCCTTAAATCGAGTTGATACATTTAAATTTAATACAACTATTTGTATTAGCTCTACTAAAGTGTGTGTGTGTGTGTGTGTGTGTGAGTGTGTGTGTGTGTGTGTGTGTGTGTGTGTGTGTGTGTGTAGGGCAGGGGGGGGCATATGAAATTAAAGACATACTTTGTGACTGAATTGAGCTTTAGAGGTTTTAACGCACTTCTGTGTTTTCTGGTGACTGTCAATCGCTTGCTATCCTTGTGTGAATGTGAATGTGCACACTCCAACTGAAATATATTAGAGTAAATAAAGTTATTAAAAAATATAGATGAATAAACAAATAAAAATACAATTCATCCACTCCACTTTTTATTTAATTTTTCTAGTAAATTTGTCATGTTGGATCAAATTTGAAGCTCTGAGCAGGCAATAATTCTTTTAGTGACACTGGAAGACTTGTTTTATTTTATTTCTTGAATTTTTTTTCTGTATAGTGATCCACCATCCCATAATTTCAGGTGCTAATGTGTTCATGTTATATTCCATACTATTAAAAATATAAATACATATACTATTGTGATAAAAAACGAACAAACTTTATTTCTCCATAGGAGTCTGTAACTGTCTTTTTTTTCTAGTACAGTCACTTGCAAATTTTAGATGTCTATAACATTGTGCTTTTAGGGATGTGAAAAAGACTTTTTCTTTCTTTTCTCAATAATATTCTATAGTATGTGATCATGAACATTATACTGTCCAACATTCCTGAATGAAGAATATTTCTATATCAGAGGAGGTTTGGAGAAGGGTAGAAGGTTAAATTGCTACTTATAATATGCTTTTAACAAGTAGATGACTTGTTATTGTATTTAAGGAATTTTGGTCATTATTTATTGTCAAACATCTGTCTGACAAAAAAAAAAAAAAGTGTTCTGATGAACTATCAAGAAGTCTTTTTTTTTTTTTTTTTTTCGATCTGCTTTTTAGAAGTTCTAATGTCTTTGAAGCAGTACAGTTTCACCCAATGTTTTACGCAATAAAACCTCTACCTCTTAAAACCACGACTTTGTCTCGATTATTTGTGTCTGTTTTATTTTCTTTAAAGCAGTGTTGAAAGCTGTGGTCATTAGGAATGCTTTCAGGGTGTAAGCATTCTTGTTTCTGTAAGTGTTTTATATTTAACTGATTTAATGCATGTGGTTTGAATATGTGCGTTTGTTGAATGCACACTTCCCTTTTTGAATGTTGAGAAGAATGTTCACACTTCTGAATTAATTTAGGCAAAGAACTCTGCATAAAATAAAATGCATAGCCCCCTAACACAAACAAACAAAGAAAGAAAAATAAATAAACAACATTATTTTTAAAAAATAATTTTTATGTGTATTCTTATAACATACAGTGGCCGAGAGAGCTTAACATGCAACAATTTAAAGAGCCCCTATTATGCATTAAAAAGGAACATATTTTGGTTTTGGTGGTCTCCAACAAGAGACCGATATGCATGCAAGGTCAAAAAACACTTTCATTTTCTTATAATAAGCATTTATTTTTACCTAATTATCCCAATGACGCCCACATGATTCGATTAGCACAATGCTAATCTGCACTGATTTGTCTGATGAGCCAGTCTGTTGTTCTTGGTCAACTGCATTCAGCGCAAGACAGAAATAAATGCCCACCATGGCTTATCAACAACTTTGAAGTAGTCAGAGTGCACAGAGTATGTGTGAGCCCAATGCAGAAGTGCATTAAAGCAATGCAGGTTAACACCATCATGTTGCTTTATTTTTAACCATGACACACATTCAGTGTTAATCCACGCAATGGCAAAAGCTGAACTATTTTGAAACTTGACCACTTCACATGTAGGAACAGCTGACGGTGGCCATAGCACTGACAAACGGCAGTAGAGCGCGAGCTCAAAAACGTGTTTAAATCCGTTAACAATGAGGTTTGCGTCACGTTTTTAACGTGGCTTTAGACGTGACATGAGAATATAAAGAGTTAAAAAAGATACAGTACAAGCAATTACAAGTAACAAACCACAACTAAAATACATAATTTGCAAGTTAGAGAAAACAAGGAGGCAACCATTTTAATCACACTTGTGAAATGAAGGAAGAAACTGATCCATGAACTGTGTACTGTAAAGTTCCTGTCAACTCTGACAAAATCCCAATCATCCATAGTCTTTTCTGATCCTACTTTCAACAAACAGCCGACGAATCCCCCATTGTAATCGTGTAGATTGCTATAGCACTTGTCAGAAAAATGGACAGGAACACAGAACAAGGCTGGGGCTATAATGCTAAGGTACTTTTGCAAAAACAAACTACCACTGACTATTCACTGCCTCATTTTTGGGTAGGGAAAATAACACTAACTTTCCTGACACTTCAGAGCACAGCATTTTCATGACTTGATTTAACCTGGATCTGCTACAGTGTTTGTCCTCCTCTTTTTCTTTCTACCATGTTTGTGGGTAGGTCAGAGGGTTTCAATTTTCCCGGGTCTGCACGCGCAACAACTGGGCGGGGCTTGACTTCTGTATCAACGTCACGGTGACACTTCTAAAGACTTGTTACAGCAACAATTCATTCAAACCACTATGAGTCAACTCTTTTATAGATGAATCAATTGTTTTAAACATGGCACACTTTAAGATTTAAGCCTTAGCTAGATATATTTCACTTAGAGCTGTTACACACTGCGTAGGAGGTCACTTTCAAAAACCCATAATAGGGGCTCTTAAAGAAAACACGTGCAAATACAAAAAATGCCAGAAAATGTAAAAAAAAAATCTTCATTTGTTTGACAGCACACGTGCTGCAAATCATCACACCGCAAACACATTAAAAAAATAATAAAAAAACCACGCTGTATTTTCTCACAACGCAAACAATTTACGAAAACATGCAGAATTTTCTCACAACACTTCAAATAGCACTGAACACATTAGAAATGTTTAAAGGGGATCCTAAAACGTGACGACCCTGGCTATTTAGGTTATGGTTCTTTAGGCTAATAAAATACAAAGGACAAAGGAATCACGATGTTAAAATAAACAAACAAAAATCTTACCTTTTAATGATCACCTACAACTTCACTGAGCAATAGTCATGGCACAGCAGCATCTGTCACTTTCTTTTTAATAGTTTTGTGAGAAAATGCAGCATATTTTATTAATTTGTTTGCGGTGTGTGAAAATGCAGCATGTTTTTAATGTGTATGCGAGGTAAGGATTTTCCGCACGTGTGCTGTCAAACAGATGAAGATCGTTTCATAATTTGCTGGTGTTTTTTGTAATTGCACGTGTTTTCTTAAATCACAACAGGTTAAGCTCTCTTTGCCACCCTTATATCTTACAGACAGCGAAACTAAAAAATAATGTAGGGATAAAAAATAAACAAATAAAACGATGTGTGGCAGACAGAGAGCCATGAATAATACTAAATGAAATCAAATGGCTTTCATAAACTGTAGTGAGCACCACCTGCAACACTGAGACGTGTAAAATCATTAACACAGGCCACATGCAAACATGCCATCATTTCATTTTAACACTGACAATACATTCAAATATTAAGATCTGCCATAGATTTACAACTTTGTATTTCTTACGAGGACTTCATGATTATTTGCCACATTGAATGAAGAGTATTTGTATTCCTCTATTCCAACTATGTGTAAATGCAAGTTAATTTGCAATATAGATGAAACGCACACAGGCACACGCACAAACACACGTCCTACATTTCCAAAAAAAAAAGTCAAATAACCCAGCATTGAAAAGGATGGAAAAACAGAAAAGACAATTCAACATGCATCCCCTGAATTTAAAACGTCCCCAATGCATGCTCATTTTACTGTTAATGGAGAAATACAGTGTGTGGCATGTTTAATAGGCTTTATTTTTATTATACAACACTGAATAATTAACTCTGAGGCAGAGTGTCACATAGATTTATCTTTTAATTAAAATTGCGTGGTTCACGCATATTTGAGTGGTAGTCCAAATAAACGCAATATCCAAATTTATGTTTTGTTTATCCTCCTGTTAATTATCGAGAGATTGTTCGCTCTATAACCCTTCATATTTTCCCTCTCCTCGCACAAAGTTGGGAGGTCTGCATCACAACTAATAAAACCTTCTAGTCATATTTTATTAATTTATAGGTCATTCTGAAAAGCAAGGAGGGGATAAGGTGAATATTATGAATCCAGCTCTTTCCAATATACCAAAATTTCACAGTGAGTAAAATCTAAATATATTTAAATAACACAGGAATTATTGGGTTTTGGATGAAATTAAAAAAGTGCATTATTAGAGTATTAGTAGACTTTTAGGTTAAGATTTAGTATACATATCCAGTGGAGAACACTGATCAAAATTTAAGAACATTCTCATATACCTCCCATTTATTGGAGATAACATTATGAATTATTTGACAAACTTTAAAGCAGCTTACCTTTACGTTTTCACAGACTTTGCAAGATGGTGAGCCATTCAAAGCCATACAGTATATAGCAATTTTGTTGCTAAGTTATTAACTTACTAAAGTCCTGAAAGCCCACTCCCAATTCTGAAAGCCAGTGACCAAAACTTTAATCAACAGAAAGAGTTAAAATTTTAGACTAATCTTTGCTGAAGATCATGTTGTGCACACAGAGAACTGGTCCAAAGTGTACTATACTATGAATGCAAGTTTAAAAGCTAAACCTTGAAGTGTTATAGGAACCAAATATGCTACTATGAGATCAATCGTCATGTGATGTCTACACTGTGAATTCGGTTATCAGGAAGCCACATAAATTATATATGTATCTCTAATTGTCATAAAAGTGTACCATAACTCATGTAATGAAATTAGCACTTCTTGTGTGTATTGCCTTTTCTTTTTGAATTGCTGATTGCCTCCTCCATTGTAAGTTGCTTTGAACATAAGAGTCTGCTAAATGTAAATGTAACTCCTTTCTTTCATTTCATGTCCCTTTATTGTGCCATTTTTAGCACTGTGTATGAGAAGGATTAGGTGCCTCTATTGGTCAGTGTCACCCATGTAATGGAACTCGTGGACAAAGGGAGGAAAAAAAAAATGCTAGACTTTCTGCAATGATGTTGCGAAGCATCGCAGACAGGGCATTGTTGTCATTTACTATAGCAAACTACACAAGAATCTCACATCCCGATGCCCATTGATTGTATACAAATCCAAATGACATCCTACATAAAGCAAATCTTATCAAAATTGGGAAAACTTTTCTAAGCTAAACGAGAAACGTTTATGCATGTAAAGAAATTAACACGGTTTTAGGGATGTTTTCTGGAGCAGGATGTTGGGCTCTTATGAAGCTGAATTGTAGATTGAATGCAAATGTTATCAAAAGCAACATGCGGTTTCTTCCCTGAATTCATCACCTAATCATTCATCACCTTATATAATGCAGCGCAATGGAATAGAAAAATAGAAAAGCAGGTAAAGCAGTTTCCTAAAGCTGAAAACATTGAAATATTGAAACGGCCAGCACAGAGTCCTGAACTAAACCTTGTTAAAAATCTCTAGAAAATCCTTGGTGACAAAGTTTAACAATTAGTAATCAGTCAAAGAGACTCGAGAACAGCTGATGTAGATCAAACCATAGCAGAATGCGAATTAATGGTGCCCTGTGAGTGGCTATTGATGTCCCTTTGTTGCAGATGGTTCGAAGTCTTACCCATTATATGCACTATTCGGTGCGTTTAAATCTTAATATGACCCCATGTACCTCTATTGGACCGATCTCTGTAAGTCGAAACAGGTAACCTGTGGTGTTAGTGTTGGTGCAAGGGTAGGTCTCTCTTTGCTCTAATCCTCCACTGCTGTTCAGAGTTCAGCCCCTGCAGGCCCCTCCTGAGGCTGCAAGCTCTTAATTATGCCTGTTTT